CCACGAATGTGATACTTCCCGTGCATATCCAAATGTAATGAACTATTGCATTTTCAATGTCATGTTCATCATATCATGAGTGTAACATGACATACACCATTTTCACAATGTCAATTATATCATGAGCATATAATTACATTCCATAATTTCCTCCAAGCATGTTATAATATTTTCAATGAAACCAACATGCTAAATCAACAGAGACATTTTATCAAACATCATTAATGCATAAATGTTAACACATAACATGCCTAATCAACACATTTCTCATGAAATTACCAAAATAAGCAATTTCACTCAAAACTCAATTCATTGAACAATTGGTCTTAGCATATTTTTATACCATTCTCTATACTCTAGTTACATTAGAAATATATTTAGACAGGAGATTTCATCCTAAGTCATGTTACCCATTTCATATAAAATCCTAGGTTAAACATAAACCTAGCTAGGAGAAGAACCCTACCTCTTAAAGCGTAACACACGTAGTAGGAAACTCCCAAGAACCTAAAGAAAGCTTCAAGCCTTGATTTCAAAAAATATTATCTTTGAGACTTCTTCAAAATCCTCAATTTTTGATACGTAGACGTAGCCCTTGTAAGGTAGATGAACTTTGATTTTTGGCCCAAATAATTCTAACCAAATGTTGGCCCTAGATCGTAGAGAGAAGATGAAGAACCCTTAATTCTCTCCCTCCTCTCTTCCCTTCTGTTTTTCTGGAAAACCCAACAGCCACAATGGAGAAAACATCTAATTTTTTCCCATTTTTATACTCTTTGGACACTTGGCCATCGTTGCGCCACATGTCTGCCTTTCCCTGAGCCCGTTTTGGTCCCGAATCAATTAAATCTCTTCCCGCTTTAAGTTCAATATACTTTATTTGAACTAAATTTAAATTATTTTTTATGTTTCGCAATTTAGTTCTCGATCGCATTTATTTTGGTCATGCGACACCCAATCGCCTAAGAAAACGCAAAAAATCTGAATATCTCGAAATTCAACAAAAATTGACTTGATAACTAGATTTCGCGAAATGAATCCAACAGTGAGGTCCGTTTTGTCATCTGAGTTCTACCACAATTGGGGTTTTCAACACGTATCATAGCGACTAATTACTATTTTGTCATTTTTCATAAAAAATTTTAAATTTCTCGGGTTTTACAATCATGCACATGAACTCTCGCATTGTCACCCCCAGCCATATCTTTAGCATACTCATACATTGCACGGCCTTTATCAAAAACTATGCTCTAGTCATTGTAGTAAGGTCAGCTTTTCTCACGCATTCCTTTTGCATTGCGATCTTTCTGGAAAACAACACGTCATTAGTGAATGACATAAGGAGGATAGTAGGGGGTGGGAAGTAAGTACCTTGACATAGTCAGCCCAAACGTCATCCCCTTCAACATCTATACTTTGTTATGAGTCGTTCCAATCGAAACCTGACGTGCTAAGCATGGTGAAAAGTGTGTTATAAGTTTTCTTCCAGTTTTTAATCTTCGACTCAATGTATGGAGTGGCACGTAAGTCAGTTCCTCCAAGTGCATTTAATAAATCCTTCTTTAAGTGGTGCAAATAGCCTGATCTGAACGCCCCGTTTTGGGATTTTCAACTCTGATTGCAAATGTCTTTAAGCGTATTTAAAAGCAAAGATTCTTCAGACCCTGTCCACATTCGTCTTGGTCCCTTATTAAACTGGGAACTTTCCCTAAACTGCGAAATCCTGACACTAGCCATGTCACCACTACAAATAGCGTCAAATCCACATGTAGGCTCAATGTTAAGTTAACTTTGCCAAAAAATATTTAATTCAAAAAGCTTTAAAGAATTTGACATACACGTAAATCATCCACTAATTACTATTACTTGCATGGAATAGAACTTAACTAAACAAAAACAGTAGGCGAAAGGAATTCAGTAACAACATGCAACAATCTTTATCGACTAACATCAAGTTACCCTATTACACCTCCAATCATTGTACATGTCAGCCGCTAGTTGCTCATGCCACGCTGTCCAACCATAAGAAGATTCAACACTATCGATTATGTCATTATCATTCACATTCTCATCTTTCAAATGATGGTCATCCAACTTTTCCTCCAACTAATCATATTCCATCTCGTTCCTAATAAGATTATGCAGTAAGCAACAAAAAGCAATGATTTTGTTGTAAGTTGGTACTGGGTAAAAACACGTTGTCCTAAGGATAGCCCATAGCATTTTAAGTAGCCCAAAACCAAATTTCTATGACATTCCTCGTTGTTGCGTGCCATAAATTGAAATACTTGTGTGCGTTTTTGGGAGCTGCAACACCGTCGGCAAACTCCTGCAAGTGGTATCGCTGACCACAAAAGGGAGACAAAAAATCTTCTCCATTTGTGTATCCAACATCTAGAAGGAAATATGTACCTACAAGGGCACATAATTGAATAAATCTAAAATCTTCAAGAAACTTACCAAGTAACCAAATGTTTAAAAAACAATTTTTGTCACCTTACCACATTCCACCTTCATCCCATTCTGTCTTGTGATTACATCTGGCAATACCCTAGAATCAGCGACAGACCCCTCCCACTTGGGCAATATGTAGATAAATTTCATGTCTTGTCCACAAACGCCCAACACATTAGTTGTTATCCATCCTTTCCTATTCCTATATCTACCTTGGTGTAGGAGGGTACTTTGGCCCTAACATGTGTGTCATCTAGTGCCCCTAAACATCCCTATAAGAACCAATTACGATGAAAACAAATGATTGCAAATGTGTACTTGAAATTTTGTTACGAAAAAATGAAAACCATGTTGCTCGTAACCATCAACCTTGAACCACCGCCAATTGGGATCACTGCACCCATCTATAACCGATTTAGGACTCTTCAAGAGTAATCGTCTCAATTTAAGAATAGCGTGTATAACCGTGTTGAAGTGTCTGCTCACTATCTACCCAGACATAATGAATTTAAACTTAACTGGGCAATTCTTGTCATTGTGTCCTATGACACTCAAGAACATTGTAACCATCTCTTCGACGCACACATTCTTTGTGTTGGTAAGCCCACCGACTTCCCTAACTAGGAAGCACAACACCTGAAATGTATGACTATCCATCATAAGTTGTTCTACACATGTTCTATCATTTTCTTCGATAAGTCTATGGAGATACACACCTTGTGCATGGAACCTATTGACTAACCATGCCAATAACCATGTCTTTCGCTTTTCATTGGCCCATAATACAATCATAACCATCAAATTACAAGTACAAACAATAACAAACTCTGACTAAATTATTAAGAGTAACAAACATAGCTGCGACATTGTCATGTTTACAGGCCATACTCACTGAAATAATAACACAAAAAGCCTCCATCATATCACTATTAATACTTACAAAATAAAGTGGCAAAAAAAAAACTATATTGTGCGTTATAATTATTTTATAATTTTTCAACGTTGATTATGAATTAAAATATATGTAGTGAAACTAATCAGGAATTTTATTATGAACGTCTTTTAATTTTTCATGTCTGCCAAATAACTTAATTATTGTAAGACAGAACACTTAGTCGGTTTATATTTCAATAAGAGCTTTATATGATCAGTTATGATTATAGGATAACGACAGCTGGATTTCTAAATAAGATCTAGCTTAGGTTTGATTTTTGATAAGAAATAGTTCGCATCCATCTTAATTTAGTTAATGTCCAGAAAACATTGAAATGATATTTATTGTTATTAAGAATGATATTCAACTCTACACAAGTTTCGGGATCAAAAAGTCAAAGATGGCACTATTCGAGGAAATTATACTAAATGGAGAGTCTATAGCTAATTCAGTTCACTCACCTTCAGATGTTTCACATTCGGTATTGCACACGCAGCTGAATTGGACTAACCTAACTCTCATCCATATCTGTAATAACCTTGGTAATCTGCCAAAGTACCTGAAGGATCTATAGAATAGCCTCAATGACATTCAATCGAGTTTGTATAGGTTCATTTAAACGAACTGAGCATTAACATCAATAATGAGCAAAAAAGAAAGGGTTAAAAGGCTGAATAAATTTATATCAATTCCTAAATTACATGCCTCTCAATGTACCTGTAAATCCATGTACACAAACACGAATAATTGGATATATAATGATTTTTCCTTGCTATTTTTTTTTATATATAGGTATATTTTCACTTTCCAGTACATGATGTAAGTTTTTCGAGTAGGTGCAAGATATATAGATTGACCCAGTTGAAAAATTTAGCATATTTTGTGGTTTTACCTATGCAAATCCATCCAAGTTTCAGCCCAAGAAAATGGGTTTGTTTGTTTTTTTTAAGGGTCAAGTTACCATGGACAGTAGGTGTGATATAGACTTCACTGCTAAAGAATGAAGAAAAATGTAGTTGATAATCTGTCAAAGGATGGGAAAATTTTAGTTCAATTTTATCATCAATAACATGTTAGCTTTGTAAGCCAATATTTATGAGGTTGGTTGAAATGAAAACAAAAGTCTCACTCACTAATCTGCATAAGCTTTACAGTTACAATTCAACATAGACATCCTACCCAAATCCTAAATTTCTGCACATTGAAACCCAAAGGCCTCAAAAATCCAGTACGTTTAGCATTAGGGTCTTCATCACCAAGAGTCAACAAATTATATCAACATAAGCAACATTCAGTTAATCAAATCTCTATTACAAGTAGAAAATCCTCACCCAAATCCAAGTTACTCTAATACAATTCCAGAACTTTCCACTCAACTTAATGTAGAAACAAAAATCAGTAACTCAGAAAAAGACAGAAAATGAAAACAAATAAAATACCAAAAAACAATCAAGTTGACGATTACAGAATTACCAATGCAAATATCATTTCCAAGAGAAAAGAATCACACAGGATAGGCATGTCCCTCACACTATGATGAAAAATCATATTTAATAAATTTTTTCCACTAACCTCCAAATCTCAGATGGCTAGAGCAGTACAGTCTTCTCCCTTACAAATGCTCAATGTAAATGCCAAACTGCAAAAAAAAAAAAATAATAAATTAGCCGAATTTCACAAAGGAAGAACCAAAAAGTCGAAGATATTACCCAAAAAAAAAATCTAAACCAAACTTCAGACCATTTCAGACCACCCCTCTACCCCAACCCTCTGATTGAGCGAAGAAGAGAAGAAAATAGACGAGCAACGAAGCAAAAGGATTTGGACTTACCTTTGCTAGATGGGCAGAAAATGGAAGAACAAGAGGGATTTTTATAGCCCAACCGAAGCTTGATCGAACAGTGATTGACTTGGACAGTCAAATATCTCTCTGTGACACCATTGCTTTTCTTCCATCAGTGTGGCAGAGAAGAGGACAAGCTTCTTCCCTTCCCCAGAGATCTCCATGTTACGCGAATCTCTCTACCAGTTTTCTTCCTCCGTCGATTTCTTCGATCATTGCCAGGAAGAAGACAAGCATCCTCCCTTTCCCAGACCCATCTTTCCCACAGATTTCCCAAGATTTGGGGCTTGTTTGGATTTCCTAGGCAATTGATTGTTGACAGGGTTTGGGGTTTTGGATATCCTTTGGGTAAATATGAGGTTTTACTAGAGATACAAATGTCTTTTAAGTTTTAACCACCATATCTGGGTTGGGCTGATTTCAAACCGACGTCCCTTGGGTTTGGTGAAACCTTTGTTCATGGGTTTTAGGGCTTGTTTGTTGCGGGCCGGGATTTAAATCCTGAGCATTAAGCCTACATCCAAACAATTGGACTATTTTTGTTAAACCCTTCTTTATATATCCACCCAAATTCTCCATCCAAACAGGCCCTAAGAGCTTCTTCTACTTTCAAGGCCTCACCATAATGACCAGTTGAATCGCCTCTAAGATTCTCTTGGCAGACTCGTCGAGCTTTGTGAAGCTTTTGAAGTCATGGTTAACTAGATAGGCTTGGTATCCATTGTTGATTCCATCGATGCATATTTGCATTAGAGCTTCCTCAGTGGCATGCCCTTTGCACTCGATGGCCTTAACACTAAATCATCAATGAAAATAATCAGTTCCTCCTCATTTTCCTGGGTGATCTTGGTCAAGGATAGTACTGTCATACGTTGCTCCACGTGGATGAACTTTCCATAAAACTATGAGGCCATCTCATCCCAACTTTGGATAGATTTAGTTGGTAAATTTGCATACCCAGTAAAGGCTCAATCCTCAGCAGATTTTGAGAGATGTTGCATAAATGGAGCAATAAGTGCATACTCATACACCCTTTACACTCACTTAAAGAGTAAAAAAAGACTACTCGCACTTCATTGTTATGTCAAAACAAGAGTATGAGTAGAAGAAAAATAGAGAGCAGTATAAGGAAAAGATTACAACCACAAAAGAGGTTCTCTCTTCAACAAAGAATGAATGAAATACTACTCACGCTTCATGACTGCAAGGGAGCTAGAAAGGTGAGAGAAGTTCATCCCTTTATATAAGGAAGAAATCTTAACAATTCAAGAAAAGTAAATAAATGAAATACAAGAGAAATGAAAGAGAACTAGCTAATTTGGAGGGGCAATTCCTTTTCCAAAAGTGTATCCAATACAAGAGCAGATGGGGTATCTATATGGAAGGAGGATATGAAATCCAAATAGACAAATCCACTTGCACTCTAACATTCTAGAGGAGGCGTTCAAACGTTGACTGGGGCATTCGAATGTTGAAGCTACCAATTTGTCTCTTTGTTTGCATGCTGGAAGCTGTTTGTCGGATGTTGTTGACACTGTAGAGGTGTTCGAACGCTACAGGAGGCGTTCAAATGCTGCGCCTCCAAAACGGCTCCTTGTTTGATTTGCCAGATTTGCTTTTGACTTTGAAGGAGTGTTCGAATGGTAGCATGGGCGTTCAAATGCATCCCTCCTTCGAGAAATCTTTCCTTTGGCTGTTTCCTCTTCATGGCTTTATCTCCCATGACATCATAAGGAATCTTTTGCCCTGCATTTCATGTTAATACTTCAATCATCCCTTATGCTCAATTCCTCATTATTTATTATGAATAAAATGTAAACTACACACAATTAACTCTTCCAAAACATATTCAAATGTAAATATTAAGGGTTAATCAAAAGTCACCCTCGTATCTTGGACGAGGATTCATTTAACATTCGGCAGCACTATACTCGCGGTGCCACTCTCGTCTCTTGTACAAGATCCATTTTTCCATTTCCACTATAATAGGGAAGGGCCCCTTTCCCTCCGCGGTGCCTGACATTTTTCGTAGTCTTGGCACTTTTTGCAGCGATACTGCCTATACCTCCGCAGTGCCAGACAATTTTTGTAGTGCTTGGCACTTTCTGTGGTGTTGCTGCCTATACCAATCTGCGGAACCTTACTAGGATCCACTGTGCCACATCAGTTGGTGACTCGTCTTTAGACTAGTCATCCGTCCTTCCATAATGTGTACATGTGTCCCAAAGTGAAATGATATTTCAAAAGTCATAACGCAACGACAACAAAAGCATAATAATATGGAGGAGTAAAGGCAAAAAAAAGGCATCGTTAGAACTATGATTCCTTGGAGGAAATCAATAATTCCCACTTACATTACCATGCCATGTTTGACTTCACCAATTCCACAAAATTGAAGCAATTTGACCTCCTATCACTTAGAACACTTTCACCACACCATTTTACAATATCCCTAATTGTAGATCACACAATCGGTATTTTTAAGAGACTCACCTAAATAGGAAATCTAAGGTGAATTCTTTATGGGTTATTACCATTACATAAAATTTTAAAAAAAATGTTGAAAGGTATTTGAATTTCTCTCTCTCCACACACTAATTTACTATAAATGTATTATATTTATTTACTAGTTATTGATTGTGCCTGAAGGCACAGAGTAATAAAAAATGGTAACACAATAAACATATTTGTATTTATATTCAAAATCAAATCACAAACATAGAAAAGAGATCAAAGAATTTAAGTATCGATTTGTAGTGGGGGGTGAGAGATGGTGGGTGACAGTGGTGGTGATATGAGACGGTGATGGTTGTGGTGGCTGACAATAACCGTGGTAGTGGCGATGATGGTGGTGGCGGACGGCGGCGGCAGCAGTAGTGGTGGTGGCAGCGGCGACGGGTGACAACAGCGGTGGTGGGCATCGATGGGGGGTGGTTGTGGGGGTGGTGGTGACGGCGGCGATGGGGGGCAGTAGCGGTGGTGGTGGTGGTGATAGTGGTGGTGGCAGCGACGGCAGTGGCGATGACGGTGGTGGTGATGGTAGGGGTAGTGGTAAGACGGTTTCAAACACTATTTTTTTAAGTAGTATTTATGAGAAATAATTTTTAAAAGTACTTTTAAAAAGTCACTCCAAACACATCTTTAGATGCCTATTTTTTCATATTAAATTTAGAGTGTTAATATTAGCCGTTAGATTAACTTTAAAGTAAAATTTAAAACGATCTCAACCGCGAATAACAAAAATCATTTTGTTTATCTTTTGAGATTTGAATTATAAACTATTTTATTATATACATTATATAGAGACGAAATTAGGATTTTATAAGAGGGGGGTCGAATAGTGGCGTAGTCAATATTTTGTTTCACGAGTTATTCAATAACCTTTTAGAATATATCCATTTTTAGACAAATTTAATTTAAACTTATTCAATTACAAGCAAGAATTCTAATCAATTCATCAAACTATTTACAGTTTTGCTTTAATGCCATCGCATAATCACTCAATTATAATTCAATTTCATCAAATAATCCAATTATTTTTGGCTCGATTTCTTAATGTAATCTAAAAATGAGAAAGAAAAAATAAAGAGAGAAAAACATTCATTTACCCAAGAAAAGTAACAAACACAATACAAAACCCCACACAATTACACCCTCGGTCACTCTCGATTCTTGCACCCATAACTAATTGGCATTCTTGGAACTTTCATCCATTAAGAATGCTCTAACTAATTTGCTACTAGATCGCAGTCCTCATGGTATTCTTAGGGATCAAAATATTACATAAAATTGGATTAATGCCCTATATATGTAGGGTTCGACTTGAATCTATGATGGATGATTTGTCTCAAAGAATTGGGAAAAAAATATATTGGATGAGATCTCACTCTAGTATACAAGAATTTAAACAATTTGACTAACGGTTACCAAATTTCTGCAGTGATCCATAGGTTAATTGTGAGTTTATGAGGAAACAAATGCCAGAAAAAGGATGATACAATATGAAATCGAGCTATTAATTTTAATTTTTTTTAAAAGAAGATAAACTGATCCAGCATAAAGAAAGTGTAAATTTGTGGTCTCCTTGGCAGGATAAGAGTTGAATCCATGATGCACTTTCAGAATCTTCTTTCAATAGTTTTTATGACCTGATAATCTTGATTCATTAATACTATTTTGATCTAATTTGTTGACATATTAGTGGTATCCCTCCACCCATGTCCTTAAGCCATTATGACCATTCAAGCATATCCTGGTAACTATTTTTTGCTTATGCTTTTTTTTTATTAATAAAATAGCATCAAATTATTTCATGTACACCACATTACTGTCTTCATTTGTGAGGAGCCCCCTATGAATTGTGGATTCTTATTTAGCCCCCTATAAATCTATCTATTATAGAATAAATACAATACGCCTAACTCCCACCATCCAAGCCGCCGAGGTTTTTATTAGCTTTGCGGACCACATCAATAGTGCTTGCCGCTGCAACTGCATTTTCCGCATCGCCATCACGAACTTTTCCAATTTTCTAGCATGGTGGTCACATTGTAAGCGTCATAGCCTTTGGAAGTTGAATATAGAACGGCGGTGGTTGTTTCGAGCTTCCATGAACGCAGCTGTTGCAGCTCCTTCTTCGACCTCCGGTTTTAGTCGCTTAGACCTGCACAGGATTTCTTCAAGAACTCGCAGTCTACTTCTGTTTGCTTCAGCCTAGCCTTGCAAGATCACTCCTTTTTTATTGTATATGCATGGGTGAATTCCTGGAATGACATGAGATAGTGATCCTTATGGCGAACTCGATGATGAATCTTAAAAGAAGGAATAGCCAGAATGGGGTCGGGGTACATTCGACTTATCTCCTCCGATACTTTAAGTCAATTGGTGCCTAAGTTTAAGAGATAAAATGTATAGTGCAGAGCTATGTTTGCATGCACACGTTAATTTTGTTTCAATAAAGTATTTATATCTTTGATTATGGCAACATGACACCCACTCAAGTGCCAATCTTAGGCCTAAAAGCCTTTATTTGTTGTTCAGTATAATAAGTGTTTTTCCGTTGTGCCTCATTAATGCCAAGTGATTAGATAGCGAGGATTAAGCGTCCAAGATGCACTATGCATTTATAACTTCACTCCCCGATCATCCCTGATCATCGAGTGCTCTATAATAAAGTGCTCACAGACTATTGCTAGACATTTATGAGTAGACGCGGAGATTTCTGCCTAATACTCCCAAGACTATCTGGTTATAGTAAGGGTTATATTTTATCTTTTTGACAATTAGATCTGAACCTTTTGTAAACGAGAAAACTAATGAAAACTTGTCACATTAATACACTGCAGGAGATTTATACTTTAATGATAATTGATACTCGAGACAGACCGCATACATATTTTGGTTCTCTACATGCTGACTTGCTGAGTACTCTCGGTCTAAGGCGCCCTTTACTCCATCTCGGCCATCAGAAGTCCAACCGATGTGCTGTGATGTCCTAAGCTGCAATGTGTCGGTTCCTGACTAATGGACCGCCAACGTCCTCTCAGTATATATCGAATGGAAAACCCAACAACCAAAAAAAAAAATGAAAGGTAAAGGAAAATATGTTGGGGAAAAACCTTACCTTTATCTTCTGTTCTGAAACCATACTTCTAATTGTCGTGGTCGGAAATTTAACTTCTCAACAAGTGCTTGTTTTTGGGCGTTCATGTCAATCTATAACTGTAGTTCTTAGCCAAATTAAGTAAATAAATCGAATTAAAAGTAATGACGTATATTGTTTAGCGAAAAATTTAGTCTACTCCCTAAAAAACAATGGAAATCATTATGCAAATAGGGAGACTCGAAGGAGTTGTGCTTGGGTTGGTAGTTTTCAATCAGTCAGTCATGCACTAATTATTTTTTAACAAAAATTGTGATAATCGACTAATCTACCGATTTATATAAAAAATAAGAATAAGACACGTAACTATAACATAAAACTTAGGTTTCAAGACAACATAGCAGAACTATAGAAACATCCAATTATTGACCACCGAAGCTTTGTCAACTATTTTTGGTTTAACTAATAACAATAAAAGTGCAATAATATTAAGGAATGACGGCATGAGTCAGAACTATGACTTCCTGGAGGACACTAATAACTCCGGTCCCACATGACCACGCCATGTTTGAGTTCACAAATTTCACCGATTTTCAAAGGTTCTGTTTATTTAAAAAGAAAAGAATGGTAAGATGTGATGAGAATAGTAGAAAATAAAATGAAAGAAAAGAAAAAATATATATTTTTTCTTTCATGTATTTGGTTACCACAAAAATTTTGATTTTTTCTTTTTATTTGGTTTCTTTGGTTTCTTTCATGTATTTGGTTTCTTTTTTCATGTATTTAGTTTTTACTAGAAAATTTTTAGAATTGTCTAAATATTCTTATTTATATCGAAAAAGATGTTGTAATCGAAAGATTTTGCATTTATCCATCTTTTATGATAAAATAAATAAATATCAAATATCATTAATGTAGAAGCAATGCATGGTTGACACATCACAATTTTTATCTCTTCAAATAGAGATGTTAAAATTTAGGAGGTGAAGTTAAAAAAAAAATTAGAGAAAATATATTTTCATTCATGTATTTGGTTACCATTTTTTTAAATAATTCATTATATTGTTTTAAAGAAAAGAAAGTTATAAAAATATTTGTGTAATTGTTTAAATTACCCTTAATTGTATTAAATTGATCTAAAGAAAAAAATATATTACAATTAAATTATCCTTAATTATATTAAACCAAGTTTAGCTTTGTTAAGGGTTTTTTGTTTTTTAGTTCCCTAGTTAATACTGTTGTTCAATTTGATTTCCATATATAGGAAATGATAAGAGATGACTATGGACAAAAAAGTTAAGTGTGAACAGTAGTCTACATTTTCACAAGACAAAAACATTTCCCACTTAATTTTGCAGGAAACCAAAAGTGTCCTATACAAGGATCTCTGTAATTTCTCCCTTTTTTCTTGTTAAGACAAACATGAAAAAAAGTTTCATTTTTTCCCTGTTAATCAAACGAACTCTAAGATTAAAACAATTTGACCTCCTTTCAGTTGGATCTCTTTTACTGCTCTTTTTTATAATATACCTAACAGTAAATCATTGAACCTAATACTGTAGGGGACTCATTTATATTTTGCATGAATTATATTAGAGCCTAGTGGATGTCTTGATCTCTCTCTCTCCTCAGTCCTCACACTATATCTTTCTACAATTCAATCACATCTTGTCAATCCTGTCAGGCATAGCAACCTCTATTATTAGGGCGGAACCATAAATTAAAAGTGGAGAGACAAACAAAACTATTAGTCATAGGAGAGTGCAATTATGGGAAGGAGCTCAAGCTCTCGAATCATAGTCCACAAACGGGCCATCCTGTTATGAACTTGCCCCCTTCCATGTGATAACTCTCATTGAATTTCTTTTAGTCCTTGTTGAGAGTTCTAGAATATTATACAGAAATTAAAACAGTTTGAGTGGCGGTTACTAAATTTCTGGAGTGAGAATAAGTAAGAAACAAATTTTAGAAATTGGTGGTCTCCTTGCCTCGATAAGAATTGAATCCATGATGCATTTGTTCATTTAAATTAAGTATACCATCAGAATTATTTTGTAATAGTTTTTATGATTGCGCTTATTTGGTTGCTGTATTAATGGGGGTTTAAGGAATGAATTTTGGACTAAAATTTTTATAATCCAGTCTGCTACGTCATTTGGATATGAAAAATAACGTCCTACTACATATAGAATTATTCTACATACGCTTAGTAACTGTATAATTTTAATACCCTCCATCCCTATTATCATTCAAGCATATCCCAGTAACTTATTGTTACTTATGTCTTTATAAAATAACATCAAATTAATTCATGTACATAACGTTACTTTATTCTTTTGGAATTAGACCCCTCTGAATTGTGGAATTACAAGGATCGAAAGCTGTTTTTTAGCCCTTTATGAACCAACCTATTAGAGAATACGTTACCCCTAACTCCTATCATCCAAGCCGCAGACGGTTTTATTATCTTTGAGGACCACATCAACAATGGCTGCTGCCGTAGCTGAATTTTTCGCTTCACTTTCACGAGCTTTTACAACCTTCTCGCATGGCAGACACATTGTAAGCGTCGTAGGCTTTGCAAGTTGAATGTAAAATGGTGGTGGTTGTTCGAGCTTCAATGAACGCAACTCTTGTAACTCTTTCTTCAACCTCCGATTTTCATCATTTAGACCTTCAAAACATTTCTTCAAGAACTCGCAGTCTACTTCTGTTTGCTTCAACTTAGTCCTGCAAGATCACTTCTTTATGTGACTTGGGGGAATATTCTCATGATAATGGAATGCACCCATTAATAATCTATGATAAACTTAGTAAATAGGCTGTGGCATATTGTATATCAAATAGGAAACCAAAAGTAAAGATAAGGAAAATATGTTGAGAAAATATACCCTACCTTGCTCTTCTATTTTGAAACCAAACTTCTACTTGTCGTGGCCGGAGATTTAACTGCTTGGCAAGTGTCAGTTTTTGGGCCTTCAGGTCAATCCATATATATAGCTTTAGTTCTTTGCCAAAGAGAGTGAATTAATTGAATCAAACAAAATAAGAGTAATGCATATCGTTCAGCGATAAATTTAGTCCACTTTTAGAAAGCAATAAAAACAATGATGTGGATAGTGAGACTCGAAAGAATTGTGCTTATGGGAGTAGTTTTTAATTACAATACCATGCAATAACATTTTTTTTTTTATAATTGAGAATGATGTTAACCACGTCTATTAGACTCATTACTACGATGTAAACTCGGGTTTTGGGTCACCCTGGCCATCTCTTTTTGCAAATCCGAAATTAGAAACTCAAGTTATTAACCATGAGGCATTACAATGCACTAACTTTTTTCAGGCTAACGAATGATTTTTATGCAATGGGCCATGTTCTAAACGTGAAGACAAGGCGTCCAAGGTCAAATACACAAATGTTATTCAAGAATTTCTTTCTTCTCTAAAAGGAAGTAACGATGAAACAATATTAGGATAAAAAAATACCGTGTTAAGGGTACTATGCAGTTTGAAGCTGTCTTCAAGCAAAGTGGATTGGTCTTTGGTAAGCCTCAATTTCTTCCTTGGGCAATTCGTGGCATTGTTGTTGTTGATGTAAGCATGATCTTCGTCAATGGTCTTTGAACTTGATCCATCGATCTTGTATTCTGAATCATTAGCTTCCTCTTTCGGGTGAATTGGAAACGAGAAATTCAAACAAACAGGACGCTTATTTTTCTGCAGGTCCCTCTTAGGCCGAAACTCCCCCATGCCGATACCGAGACCAAGCCCTACGTTGCATGCTTCTTCCTCTCCCATGGCTGTCTCTCCCTCGGTGTGTGTGTAAGAGAGAGAGAGAGAGAGAGGGAGAATATGATCAAAATAATTGCAAATGCAAGAGTTTTGGGGGAGGATTTTATACGGTTTATTTGAGGATTGTTACTACTTTATTTGGTTACAAGTGAAATAGGATCTTTAATTATGTATTTATTAGACAAGTCATAACTCAATCACAACAAAAGCATAATAATATGGAGTAAAGGCATGCGTTAGAACTATGACTCCTTGGAGGAAACCAGTAACTCCTACAGTACCATCCCATATTTGACTTCAGCAATTCCCCAAGATTAAAGCAATTTGACCTACTATCTCTCCACATTATTACTTACGTGCTAACTAAGTTGTATGAAGAGAAGTGTCCGCAGCTAAATATAATGGTGTACCTAACATCTTGAAATGTGAGGGAAATTTAATTGGTTTTGTCTTAATTGTACCTTTTATTTTATAGAAACGCCAAATTTTCTAGCCTTTCAAATGGGAGATATAGTGACTTCACCTAACCACCAAAAAAATCATTAAAAGAACACAATTGTTATTAAAACAGTGTAAATTATTGATTTTTCATCAAGAATTTGATCGTCAGGTCATTTTAATTCCAGATAAATCACTACTAACAAGCATGAAATTTTTGATGCAAAATCAACAATATTACACTGCTTTAAAAACAACAAATGTTTTTGTTAATGATCTTTTTTTTGGTTAGTGTGATAACAGTTGATCCCAAAAACTGCACCCATACAATGATTGATTACTTGGCAATCGCCGCTGGGCTCCTGCAAATAAGTCGAAGAACGAAGGGACTTTAATGGTCGATCCTTCGATGATTAAGTCAATAAATGCGAGGAGTATTAACAGGAATTGAGCTGAGAGGAATTACTTACCTGGTTCATAGCTAGTTCATCTCCTTTATAGGTTGTGCTCTTGTTACCATTGAAGCTCTTCAGCTACCAGTTTAATGGAGCAATAAGGAAAGTGGAACCTTTATCCTAAAATATTTGGAACTGGTTTGAGTTATTATTGTGGGATATGGGCGAGTAGACTCATATGCAACTTGGATCTTGGAGGAGATGTATCACACCAGATCTTCTTACTGACATGCTCACCTCAGGGCTATCCCGTCACGTGCCTGGCCACTCACGTGGTTGCCTTATGTTACTTCTATTTTCATTAGTTGCCCCCTAGCTTAGACTAGTGGAAGGCACACTCTATGCATTAATTACACTTTCCTATTAGGAGTGGAGTCACTTGCTTCGTGTACGCAACCGCCAAAGAGCCGTTGTGGCCCCAGTATATATACAAGGGTCCTCCTTTTTCTCTAGTTGTCTTCAAGAACTTCTGGAACTCTAGTACGCCTTTATTTTTGTATGCTAATCCTCTTTTGCTTCCTATTTTACCACAATTCTTCGCTTTTGGAGTGCATAGGTTGGAGCCACATATTCTAATTTCACTTTTACCGCTTTTGCATTTTGAGGTGGAGGAACTCCAACCTTGAATATTCAGGGTTTTTTGTGAGCGAACCTGTTATGGCTCGACTTACATCTGTACTTGGGTTTTGCCTTTCTTTAGTCACTAATAGACTTAATCTATCTCTCCCCCTGAATTTGCATATCAACCACCGCGGCTTCCAGGCTATGGCCATTGACTCTGCTCAATCCCCTTATGAGAGTTTTCCACTTCCCGTAGCCCAAGCTAATTCTGACTCTATTCAGGAGATTGGCTCTTCAACTCTAACAATTAGTGGGGCTAAGAATTACCACAACTTTTTGAATGAGAGCTCTCTTCCAAAACTAAGGGCTCAATATTTGATTCTTGACTATGTGCGTTTACGAGTCCCTTCTGCTGACGAGATTGCTAATTCTATTTTTCCTGACAAGGCTTGCTTCTACGAGTCTATTTTTGAGACCAGACTTCATTTTTCAATCCCTAAATATATTAGGGAAGCCCTTTATCTTCTAAACCTTGATCCTACCCAGTTAACCCCAAATAGCTGGGATTTTTTAATTGGTATGAGTGTCATCTGGGCTAAGGCAAATAGTGTTGGTGTGCAACCAATCTTTGTTGACCTTATGCAATGATACAAGCTCACCTCTTACTCTGGGCAAGGCTTGGGGTGGTTTTATTTCTCAAAAAGAGAAGGTCTAACCCTCTTAACAACTTACTCCTAGAATGTAGAGTTGAAAGACAAGTTTTTCTTTGTCTCTGGGCCTAGTTGGGAATTTGGGGTCTCTAAGGCTTCTTCTGGCAACTCTTACCGGGTTCCTCGTATTTTGGGGACACCTACCCCTCTCCTAAGTAAGTGTGCTCCCTTTCAATGATTTTTTGTTCTATCTTTTGATTTTCACCTTTATCCTCTTAAGCGCAGGTAAATCAAATGTCCTATGCTTTGAGTCGAGGGCACATATTAAACAAGCACTCGATTATTCCAAAAAAGACCTCTCCAAGATTGTAAGTGATCAAGCTCTTTTTGAGTGTCTACTGGGGCTTTTTTCAAGTGGCCTCGTTGTTCTGTCGACTGCCATTTGATGATGCTATGTGAATCGCTAGAAACATGTGAAGTGTATGGCTAACCCAATAACAAAAGTTTTGTAAGGGGACTAGAGCAGGCTACCATCAGATAAATGATATTCTTCCTAAAGAAATCCCCTTTTCTGAAAGGTATCAATATTTCTTTCTACGATTTGTCCTAGCTTCGAATATGCCCTAATTTTCAAAACTCTCTAGCTATGGTCCCTAAGGCCATTGATAAGAAGTCCCTCTAGGAAGTTACAGCCATGATGGCACATGAAATCAGGCCTTGTTCACATAAGAGACCTAGGATGTCCTTCCCTTTGGTGAATAGGGTGTCTCCAAGCTCCAACACCTCTCCACCTTTTCTTTATCTGTTGCTATCACCCCATGGGATGCCCCCTTTCAAGTTGCCAATATTGGGGTGGCCAAGTCTCTCCCTCAGGAAGAAACTCTCCTCAGATTTCGGGGGTTGTTAAGGAGAAGTCTTGCATTATACCATCTCACCTGGTGAGTCTAGCAGGTATTTATAAGTACATGTGGGATAATGTTGAGGAGGTAATGGCCTGGTTTCACCAGTTTGTTCATGAAGACGAGGTGCAAGTTGCTTTTGACTTGGGGTCATCCTGGGTTGCCAAAAACTTGGCCCTTATTGTTGGAAATGTAGAACTTGACTTTATTGGGCTTGCTTGTTTCTACTTTTGTTTTTAATCTCTTGTTCTTTTTTTTAGCTTGCCATTCTTACCACAAGTCTCTCCTATTATACTCTTAGCAAGAAGAAGTCCCGTGAGGAGGAAATCCAGTCTCTTCACTCCCAATTGAAAGCTAAAGAGGAAGAACTAGGCTCTGCTCGTAGGAACACTCTTTGCTTCAGGGAGATTGTCAAGAAAACCTTAAGTAGACTTTCATCCGTGAAGAAGGATGGAGACAAGGTGTCAAAGCACAATAGTGAGTTGCTGGTTAGGCTGAATGGGGTTTTGGCTGGGCTTAATGTTGAGTGCTCAATACTGCATTATTTTATAGCTTAACATATTCGCTTTAGACTTGTCATTAAATAACTTGCTTCAATTATTGCATATTGCATCTTATGCTGTAACTTATCTCTTTTGTATTCAAACTACTGCAAATAGATATTTTCAATTAAAACTTCAAATGAACTAATGTAACGATTGAGAGAAGGTTTATGATGAAAGAATCAATACTTTAAAGGTTGTGAAAAACACTATAATTATTTGTACCAAGCCTAATTGCATATAAATAACAGGGAGATATATCAACCAATTAGATTTTCAAAAGCATAACCTGTTCAATCAATCACATAAACGTTAAAGCCCTAGCTAACTCATACATTCTAATTCATAGGTTTGGGACTCCTTCTTTAAATCATCTAGTAGAAGACTGCTCACTCATGTAACACCCCGCATTTTCTTTTATATATGTATATAGATATATAGTAAATAATTGTTGTAAAAATGGGGATATGTGTAGTGATGTGTGTTTGAATTTGGTAGAATGAAAAAGGGATGAACAGTGCACTGGCTGTAACATCAAGCTCGATTTCGACCTTGATGCAGTCCATATCTCTCAAAACTTAAAACATGAAATTTGTAGATCTCTCTCTTAGGATTCCATATCACCTTGAATCATCTCAATCGGAACTAGGAGGAAGGAGTTATGTCCATATTACGAAGTAGTGTCTACACTGTCCAAAAATCTGTCCGGCAGACTACCTTTCGCTAATTTCATCATAACTCTTTATTGGAAAGTCCGAATTGTGCACCGTTATTTTTGTTAGAACCCTAACTCGTATATCTTTCCAACCATATAGGTTACACCTCCTAGAAATACCTGAGTCAAATCAGTTTATTCTATGAAGTTGACCAAAAATCTGCACTATGGTGCTCCTTGGATAGTAAAGGGTTGTGCTTTCTTATTAGACCTTAAAGGTGTAAAACCCCATATGTTTACATTAATATATTAATGTACTTGTTTATTGATTCTTCTATATGTAATGACTTAAGAATAAACCATATATATATATTAAAATCGTAAGGATATCACCTATAGTAGTTCGAAGGAATAAAATAGAAATTTTAATGTTCCAAGTGTGAATTTATTTTAGTTTTGAAATAAATCATAAAAAGCAATGTTTTTAGGTTAAAATAACATTAAAAATGAATCCGGAACGTCGAAAAACCTTAGGGTAGTCGTATGGATCAAATTGGAGATTTCTAGTGGTAAAACTGTAATTTTGGAAAAAAACTCAAAATTCAGCCCATGAACAGTGATGTCGCGGACTGCTGTGTTTAAAACACAGAAACCAGCCCATTTCCTTTCATTTTTTCTCACATCTCTCACCCCCAAACCCCTTAGCACCCTTGGGGAAGATAGAGGAAAGGAGGAAAGGGAGAAAGGAGGTCATTAGAGCTTGGGTTTGTGGTTTGAAACTTTGATTCAAGGTAGGGGTTTTTCTT